TGCAGTTCAAAGAATATTTTATCACCAGCATGAAGTATTAGACTCAGAACTTATATTATTTTATCTCTTTTATGCTTATATTACTCTGAATTCCATTTAACACATCAAGTTCACAGCGTCACAGTTTCATTAATTGCAACATTTTTGTTGTTTGAGTTTTATTTTTTGAACATGGAGGCATCATTAAATATCTCAAAAGTTATTCTTTTTTAAAAAGCACAATTGTTTTTATTATTTGTACAATGATTTACCACCAGCATGAAGGATTAGACTGAAATCTTAAATGATCACTTTCATATTTCTATTGCAGTTTATTCTGTCTAATTTGTCAAATTCACATCGTCACAGTTTCATTAAATTCTAAATTTTATTTGAATTTTTTTTAATATGGCACCATTAAATATCTTATTCTATTTTATAAAGTACATTTTTTATTATTATTATTCTTTGTACAATTTTTTACCACCAGCATGAAGGATTAGACTCAAATCTTACATTATTTGTTCCCTTTTATGTTTATATTGCACTGTATTCCATCTAATACATCAAGTTCACAGCGTCACAGTTTCTTAAAACGCCAAATTTTGTTATTTGAGTTTTATTTTTGAACATGGAGGCATCTATGATCTACACAAATGACAAACACCCGAGATCAACTTTTCAGATTCTAGTTTTAAGATTTTTTAATGTTCCTATTTATTTACAATGATTGTTTTACATGCATCTTGTTCCTTATAATACATATTATCATTTGTATGCATATTATTTTATTTCAGTCCAAAATGATAAAAATGTCAGATAATCAGACCTGTTAAATTTGTTGCATTATATGTAATATTTTGTTCTTTCTATAGTGTAATATAGTTTTCAGATTTCATACTGCAGTAAGTGAGGAAGCATTTGTTCTTGCACAACACCTTTGTGCCAATGTTTGGCAGCAGACATTTATAAATTACTTGAAACAAGTGGCCAAAAGAAGAAAAAAAAAGAGTTGATAACACTATTTGCATGATTTATTTGTAATGTTATCTGGTCATGCATCATTCTGAAGGACTGTCCTGTAAAAACATATTAGAAGTGCAAATGCATTTGATTTACTCTATCATTATGACCTTTGGTAATTATCATGTCGAAATATTAAAAAAAAAAAAGTTCCCTCATTGCAAGTATCAGCATGTCTATAGAAATAATTTCTCACAGATGTCTGTTTTTCAGTGTCATTGCTCATATATTTCCAGTACAGAGGATGCACTTTTACACACATGAGGGAGGAAAAATAATCTTTTGTGTGTTGAAGCAACACAGAGGATATTTGGGTCATGGGCGGAAACTTCTATTATCATGGCTGGAGTGTTTAGTGAGGCTGAAAAGGATCAAATCGCTAAAAATCAATGAGCGCTTTAAAAGACACAGTGAATCTGAGTGTGTTGAGCAATCGTCCATAGGTTCAATTCCTCAAAGGATTGTTAGGTTGGATAAATGTGGCTTTTTCCTTGTCTGCCATCTGATACTATCACTGTAGTGTGAAATACACCCATGCTGGAGAAAAATCCCCTTTTGACCTCCGCCTGTAATAGTGTGTTGGTTTCTGAACTTCATTTAATGGATATTGTGTTTTGGAAATGTGACATTTGGAGCCTTTTTACATAAACGGAGTGATCCAGTGGTCAACTTTGACAAGTTGTGTGCTCTTTTACCAACCCGACAAAATTGAAACATTGGTTTTTCATGCACTGGACAATTTTGAGATTTTGGGCTGTTCGGCTTTGCATAACATGTCATTTCAGACTAGTGGAAAGAAAAAAAATACACATTTAAGTGTTTATTTTATTGCACTTTATCTCTTGGCGTCTGTAGATGTCAATACGTATCTTTAAAGGCCAGGAGTTTTTTTCTCCACTTCAGCCGCACTTACCAGACGTAAGAGTTTTACTTCTATCTGTATTTTGAAGGTTTTTATCATTGCACTTTATATATTTGTCTTTTTCAATTATAATACATATTTCAAAGGTCGTTTCTCGAAATGATTTTTTCCCTCCACTTCAGCAGCACTTACACACACCAACATGTACAGTTTTATTCCTATCTATATTCTGAGTGGCTTGTCCATATATCATTCACTTGATTTTATATGACATGTTATTCCTAAAAATGTGGTGCAAATGCATTTTTCCTGTCTATTGACGGTATTTTCTGATTTATGGAGTGATAAAAAGAAATCCAAAATCCTCTCTGTAAAAAACTTTAATATATCAATAAAATTAAACAAGAATTTTGAACCTGACATTATCCAATGTTCAGATTTATCTTCCGGAACTATATGCAATTTAGTGCATATTTAATTAGATAATGCCTCGTTTGTTTATTTAAGCATACCATTTCAGGAAACTTGTAATGTAATCGATTAACTGGGGAAGTGTGGTGATATCTTTTAGTGAAATTTTTCATCCTATATTCACCTGTGGTGCCTTGCCTTAATGGAGAGCAAATACAACTTGCCACATTATATGCCACCTGATGATAGTTTCAAGATAATCTCAGAAATCTTGGCAGAATACCTCAACATCTCAACGCTTACCTCGTGTCAGTGATTTGTGACGCGCCATGAACTTTCTGCCAAAAAAGAGGCACCTTTTGTTTCGGCAAATGAACAAATTTCGTCATTCTTCCATTCGTCAAAAGAGTTTCTCATGCGGTTGTTTGAATAGTTGCATCTCTACCTTTCCCACTGGATCTCCTTTCCAGAAAAGAAAAAGCATATCTATTCAAAAGCCATTTAGTTCATTCCTTTCTTGGCCTGTAAACGCATTCATCAATTGTTCTGCTTTGTAGATGGTTTTTCTAATGCTAATCTGCCGTGTTAAATATCTTTTTGTTCCCCTTTCACCGTTTTGTCATTCAGTTTATCCAGTTTTGGTCACCCATTTTATTTATTTATGCGCCTGGCTCCATTCATGCGCTCATGTATTTTTTATTATGTTGTTTCACTGTCATCCAGTGTCAACTCACTCTATTCAATGTAGGCTACTTGAAGGACTCGGAGGGACAAAGCGTGTACACATTGCAGCGCTATTCACCCCGGCCAGCTGGATTGCCTGAAAAAAAAGGGTGGAAGAAAAAAAAACCTTGTGAAAAGAAATCCTCAACAATGAACACAGAAGAAGTGCACAATGCTAACAGTTTTCCAAATACCACTGATTGCTTTAACCACAATGAAGGAAAGCAGGCGCTTTTTGCTGAGCTCCACTTCAACAAACAACAGGCTCACAAAGGCCTCCCAACTCATGTTTTGTTCCGAGACAAAACCTCCTCGACTGTCTAAATGCTCCTACTGAAGGGAGACAAAGTTCTTTCAGTTAGTGCCCCCTTTTTTAAAACGGAGGGAGAAAAGAGAGCTGAGAAAAAAAGGAAAATGGTCTGGTGATGTGTGCTCTTTTGTGGAGCGGACCACCTTTTCAGGCATTTTGCTGTGCAAACTATGGGCTTAAACGCAGAGCTTTAATAACATACAGCCCGATTCAGAGGCGAACCTGTAAAAAATAGCTTTTTCAGATCATTTACAAGATGCATATGCGGTGACATCAAAATTAATTTTGAGATATTAACTGAATCAACCCGTCTACTTTAGGTTGCACCAGCAAATGTCATTTTAAAGGTCAGTGCAAGTCGAAACAAATCAGGACATTTTCACCTGTTTGCAGTGTGAAATTAAACACAGTGTTAATATACTATTAAAAGTAAATAAATTATTAAATGGAAACATGTTTTTAAAAATATGAAATACTTAGGTTAGGTGCATTGAAAGGCAAATCTTAAAGACATGTTTTTCAGAGTTGCATACAATAAAAAAATATTGTGCAAAAGGTCAAAAATAAAGGAATAAATAGAGACATGTTTAAAACATGAAATATCTATTTAGGTTGCATTGAAATGTAAATCTTTAAGACAAATTCTTCATTAATTTGGGAAAAGCGTGGCATTTAATCAACAAAAGCAACATGCAAAAGGTCATCAGGAAGCTGCTCCGAAATTAAAAAAGGATAATTCTTGATTCATAACGTCCTGTAAATAATGTGCATAGCATGTTAAAAACAATTCTTAAATATATACTTTGCAATAACTATATTGCACTGAAATGCAAATCTTTCGAATTCTTAATTAGTTTGGGAAAGAGTGTGAGTTGCAAGCAAAAAATAACGTGCAAAAGGTCATCAAGAAGGTGCGTTAAAAAGGATAATTCTTGAAAACGTGCCTGTCCTGTGCATATAACCCCCTGATTTGTTGGCTCGTCTGGTTCATAACAAGTGAAAAAGGTCACTTTTCCAAAGCGAAGCAGGAAGCTCCGTGGAGAGCAGTGATCGCGGTGTGACAATAGAGAATACAGGCCAGAGAAAAGATTCAATTAACCGTGGCGGAGGTAATTATCCCTGGACAGTTCAAATTAGTTTTGCATAATTGGTCCGAGCCATATGAATTAACTTCTTAATGTAATCTAAGAGGGCAGTTTACATCAAGAACGACCCGGCACGCAGCACATTGGGAAGATAGGCGTAAATTATACTTTTTTTTTTTGGAACAATTCTATCCAGTTTGAATGATGTAGCTATATGTGTGTTAGACGTATAATTAATTACAAATGGTGAGTATACAAAATATTAAATGGACAGAGTGTTTCCATACTTAATGAAATAGCTCTATTTCATTAAAAGATGCAAAGAAAAGTCTGTCCGAAAGGCCTAAACGGTTTCGTTTTTCTGCGTAAAAGTAAACTCCTCAGCTTTATCTTCCATCTTCCTTCCTATTCATGATCTGAGTTGTGATCATTCAGGATTTTGGCTCGTGATTACAAAGACCTGCTTGAGATTTCTGAGTAATTCTATTCAAAGCCCGAACAAAAGCGTGCTTTAGAGGATACTTTACACTTCACCTGCTCCGACCAAGTAAAGGCATCCAAGATACAAATCTTTTAAGAACTACAGAGCAATTTCCTTTTTTCCGCATACGCTTTATTATATCCCCCTTGTCCAATAAATGAACGCTAGGCATTTTAAGTACATATAAGTGGAATTATGCAAAACATAGAACATACAATTTCACTTCGAGTTAGTAAAAAACGGACTGACTTTCTTATACGTGAACGCATCTGACAGTCGTCTGATGTAGAATATGTCGACGGACCAGCACCCATAGAAATTTCAGGAACTTGGGCATGTTGTTTCTTTTCAATAAATTACACTTATAAGTGCTCATGGTCTCCCTTTGTGCAAATATCAAAGGACACGGATCGTGTCCCACGATCAACAAATAGGGCAGTTTCACTGACTGAACAATAAATATTACATACATCCATGGACACCTGATTTCTAGTCCATCAGCTCCTGCATTTGGAGCACTAACCAGATATGATTTAATAAATCTATACACATTTACAGCAACATGACTGATTTGAAGAAGAAGAAGAAAACTGCGTGGGAATTAACCAAATCTGATTTTCATAATAAAACAATTTTTTTTTTTTTTTTTCCAATATAGCTCAAATGCGACCACTTTAACAGCACTGACCGGTTTTCTCTGCAATAGCGTCACATGGTAAGTTACAGAGTCAACAGGTTAGTCTGACGCGGTAGAATTATTCACATTGATAAGGGCACATACTATATTCGCTCGAGCCGTTCAGCACATTGTCGTTTCCCATTAATATCCTGAACAGAACGTCAGAGAGTTGTACCTTACATCAAGGCATTAATCATGATACAAACACATGTGATATCTGATATGACGATCGTGGCATCACATGTTCATGCTCCACCTGTATTGCGTTTATTTCACATTTAGAAACTTTTTCAGAGTCTCATAACGCCGCCGCGTACGCGGGATACGGTTCAAGCTGTGGTTTGCCCATTCCAGGTAGTAAAATGTAGGCAAGGGGTGGCTGGAGCCCCGCAGACGGCCACGCCGCGCAGTTACACGGGATCATGTAGCCCGGGTTACCCGGCGATGGATGGGAATGCGTGTGGGTATGTGCGCCCGCTCCGGAGAAAGCCGTCGCCGCTGTTGGGTAACCCAACGGTGAGGCGTATGGGAAAGACGGTGGAGAAAGCTCTGTCATTTTTGAGCCGAGGTCAAAAAAAGAATAGGGGTTGGTAGACATGGAAGGGTTGAAGAACACCCTGGCCGCGGCTGCCGCCGCCGCCGCCGCTACCTTGTCGTGGTTGCTCATTAACGACTCGGAAAGCGCTCCAATCGGTAAACCGCCCACTTTCATCGCCTCGTGCTCGCCCAAATTATACGCCATCGGGAACGCGAATTTGTCTTTCTTCATTAAAGTCTTGGGCTTTCGCCTGGGTCTGTATTTGTAGTCAGGGTGTTCCTTCATGTGCATCGCCCGCAGTCGCTTCGCTTCGTCGATGAACGGCCGCTTTTCGGACTCCGTCAGAAGTTTCCACTCCGCTCCGAGCCGCTTGCTGATCTCGGAATTGTGCATTTTCGGGTTCTCTTGGGCCATTTTCCGCCGCTGCGCTCGGGACCACACCATGAACGCGTTCATAGGACGCTTCACGTGATCCATGGGCTTGGACATGCTGTGCAAGCGTTCGCTTCACCTGCTCAGGTAAAACTCCGCCGGCAGGACTGTCGCTTCGTCCGAGATTTGCGCGACGCCGTGTAAAGGTCTCCAAGCTTGCTTCAGGCTCACTGCGACATTCCGCCGCGAAAACAAGTCCAAGCGTAATTCTTCTTAAACTTTCACGAAAGCAATGTTCTCAGATGCATCGTGAGTAGGCTATATCCTCAAAAAGTCGCAGATGAAGTCGAAGGGATAAACAAGAAGCCGTCTTCCTCCTTAGCTCTGCTCGCTTGTTGTTTTCCTCCTCAGGAAAGCAACCGCAGCTGATAACTTCAATCGAGTGACTGTCAACCGAGGGTTGCAACATGTGAAGTAAGGAGCGCGCTGGCAGGTACTGAAAGGGCCTTCGGCGCATGCGCACTGCGGCTGTCAGACCTCGGGCGCTCCAAAATCCCACCCAGCGCGAGGACGAGAGTGAAATGATAAACTCACTTTGCTCAGAGTGCAAAGCAGCCGTGCATCGTGTGTGTGTGTGTGTTCTCGCTTAAGCGTTCAAGACACAGTATATGAGTGTAGCCTACTTTAATAATAGCCTACTCAACATAAACGTGCGCTAATGTTCGCGTTTAAAGTAGGCTACATTTCGCCGGGAATTTTAGTAGTGCAATCAGTTGGGGTTCGTCTCTCACGACCCGAATTGTAAATTCTAGAGTATTTAAAAAAACAAAAAAACATCATGCAAATCTTATCATATCAGAATTATTTATGTTGTGTTTAGTTCCTGAAAGTTCGAGAACTTTACTGTCAATATTGAGTCACCTTTAGTAGGTGTATCCTATAATAAATCACTTTTTATTTATATTTTGTCTTCATATACTTGATCAAGCTGCGTTCCATTCGCACAGAATGAAATTGAATGAATGAATGCCTTTTATTGCCATTATACCATGTACAATGAAATTAGAGTAGCTTGCCTTTAATATATATCACATAATACACATAAGTACTGTATGCACTAAGACTTACATTCAACATAAGAAAATAAAGAGTTATATTGCACAATAATATTGTATTGCACCAAATAGGCATACTAATATACTCTACTGTTTCATATAATACATAAGAAAAAGTTATTGAACGTACAGTACACTCTAAAAAATGCTGGGTTGTTTCAACCCAACCTTGGGTCAAATATGGACTAACCCAACTATTGGGTTACATTTTTACATTACATTTTTAACCCAAAAGTTGGGTTAGTCCATATTTGACCCAAGGTTGGGTTGAAACAACCCAGCATTTTTTAGAGTGTAGGCTATATCACAAAATTAAATTACAAAAATATAATCTGTCTTGACCAAAGGGAACGCAAGTCTTCTTTAATTTATCGATTTATCGGAACTAAAGCACGCACGTATTAATAAGCTAGATAACGCGTAACGGTGTTTATCGCACTCAGAGAACTTTTTCACTTTTTCTGCTTCGCTTCTTTCTCTCCGACTTCAAAGGATTTTCTGAAGGCAGCGCATCGTGACCCGAAAATGAGCTCGATGAATATTTCACTGTGCAATTACAGATATCTCAGAGAGTCCTTGTGTAAATTGTATGTTTAAGTGGATTCTGCGCGCACCTTCTCTGTTGTTCCCTATTATTAAAATGATACCTAAAATGACAGCTTTTAACAAGTGGGAAAAATCATTTAATTGCAGAAACTTGCATTGCAAATGTCGCCAGCCCTTTCCCCCCTAGCTCTTAATATCAATGCATACGTTTGTATTTAAAATTGAAAATTAGCATGCATGCATGCCAGTTTTATTATAATTATGCATGTGTTTATTATTATTATTATTATCCAAATCGAAAGTCAAAGCGTCTAATGCATTCGAAGAGATCGGCACATAATCCGGTTTTATCAGAGATGATGAAAACATGCTTAATAATCATACATTTTAAAGAGGCAGAGCCTTGTAAGGGAGCAAAGACGATGCAGATAAGAAAAAAATCATTCATATTTATCGTGAAGAAGGTCATCTGTGTATTGAAAGACAAGCAGCGCTAAATGCTGAGCAGCTATGAGTGTTTGAAATCTATTGTTCGCCATAAGCCTGGTTTCCTCTCCATTATTCGGCCAAACGTGGCTTCTGAAATTTAATTACGCCTATCGAATGAGATTAATGTTGTACTATTATGGCGTTCTGCCCTCGGCCTTCATATGCATGTCTTTTGTTCAGGCGGGGTACAGTGAAGATAAGATGATGATGATGATGATGATGAGTGTCAGAGCAGATGATTGACAGCAGCTCTGACGTGTCCAGCTCTGTCCTGTTCTCTTCTCTGGGTAGTTTATGTTTCAGATGCTTCAGGCGACAGCAAAAATATCATGTGAGCGGCCAAGACGTTCTTTTAAACCCTTCAAACAGTCGATGATTAAGAAGAAGAAAAAAATTGAATCAATGCATAAACACCGCAGCCTCTGCTTTGATACCAACACATATTTAAGCAATACACACACATTTCATTAGCAAGTACCAAAAATGATTTTAATTTTGATTATTAATTATATAAATTATATGCTTTTTTTAATCTCAGGTACTGTGTAGGTGGTCTGTTGACTGATATATAACAGAATTAATTTATAAATTATATATTATTCTAAATGTTTGTAGATATTATATTGCTTATAAATGTACATTTTTATTAAGGTTTATTGTACGTGTGTGTGTGTGTGTGTGTACCTGGTATTTATCACGTTATGGGGACCAAATGGACATTTTTGAGGTCCCCATGAGGAAACAAGCTTATAAATCATATAGAATGAGTTTTTTTTGAGAAAGTAAAAATGCAGAAAGTCTCCTGTGAGGGGTAGGTTTAGGGGTAGGGTTGGTGTAGGGCAATAGAATATACAGTTTGTACAGTATAAAAACCATTACGCCTATGGGATGTCCCCATAAAACATGGAAACACAACATATGTATGTGTGTGTGTGTGTGTGTGTGTGTGTGTAAACGTGATGAATGAATGTGTGAATGAATTTGAATAACAAATTGTATACATTTAAATATGTATACATATAGAAAGATACATTTTATATTGTTTATAAATATTTAATTTTTATTCATGTTTATTGTGTGTGTGTGTGTGTGTAGGCCTACACACACACACACACACACACACTCACACACACACACACACACACACTCATACACACACACACACACACACTCATACACACACACACACACACACATTGACATTTCAAGGTTCAGCTTATAAATAGTTTTTACACATTCCTTTACTGTAATGTAATGTAAATAATTAAAAGTACATAAAAGAGGAGTGTGCAAAGTCAGTTTGAGAAACTTGAGGAACAGCCGAACCTTTTTCGTTTGAGTTTTTGACCGTGAGTTTTACATGAACTCCATGTGAACTTGAATCAGACTTTAGCGTGTCTCAAACAGCAGAGGAAGCGATTCACAGGAAGGAAACTGCTTTCGTAAAGAGATGGGCATTTCTTTGTAGAAGTTGTACACTTTGCTTATCATGTCATCTCTCAGTGACACAGGACTGCAATAGAGCCCTTCAAACTAAAACTGGGGTGTGGAGACGCTTTCTCACTGATGAAAGAGTCGTCATTACAGGGAGGCTGGAGAATATAAGTGACTCTTATCAGATGCTCTATCATATATACTCCCTTCCTCTAGTTTGAGATGTTTAACTGCATGGCCTAAATGAGCCAACAGATCCACTGCATGGTAGAAAACAAACAAGTTTTTTAAATTGTTATTGTATTTTTTTGGACTTCATGCTTTTTTAGGTGAATGGGTCCATAAAAGTCCCTAAAATAGGGCAACATTTACTGTGTTAATATGATTTTCTTTTTTTTTGTACTTGTATTTTGAATTGTGCATTGCGTGCTGTGTTTTAAAGGAAATGTAATTTTCTGGCAGAAAATAACCAGTATTTTTTCCATTTTCCTTCAGATTTCTCACTCTGATGAAGTTTAAAGAGAAGATTATGCATAAAGTCGGCTTAAGATTCAACTTTATAGCATAATATTTCAGCAGCAGTCCTTAAAGTATAACCAGTTGTGTTTAATTTCTACTTGAAAGTTGATTTTTACTAATGCAGATGTACGCGGGATACGGTTCAAGCTGTGGTTTGCCCATTCCAGGTAGTAAAATGTAGGCAAGGGGTGGCTGGAGCCCCGCAGACGGCCACGCCGCGCAGTTACACGGGATCATGTAGCCCGGGTTACCCGGCGATGGATGGGAATGCGTGTGGGTATGTGCGCCCGCTCCGGAGAAAGCCGTCGCCGCTGTTGGGTAACCCAACGGTGAGGCGTATGGGAAAGACGGTGGAGAAAGTTCTGTCATTTTTGAGCCGAGGTCAAAAAACGAATAAGGGTTTGTAGACATGGAAGGGTTGAAGAACACCCTGGCCGCGGCTGCCGCCGCCGCCGCCGCTACCTTGTCGTGGTTGCTCATTAACGACTCGGAAAGCGCTCCAATCGGTAAACCGCCCACTTTCATCGCCTCGTGCTCGCCCAAATTATACGCCATCGGGAACGCGAATTTGTCTTTCTTCATTAAAGTCTTGGGCTTTCGCCTGGGTCTGTATTTGTAGTCAGGGTGTTCCTTCATGTGCATCGCCCGCAGTCGCTTCGCTTCGTCGATGAACGGCCGCTTTTCGGACTCCGTCAGAAGTTTCCACTCCGCTCCGAGCCGCTTGCTGATCTCGGAATTGTGCATTTTCGGGTTCTCTTGGGCCATTTTCCGCCGCTGCGCTCGGGACCACACCATGAACGCGTTCATAGGACGCTTCACGTGATCCATGGGCTTGGACATGCTGTGCAAGCGTTCGCTTCACCTGCTCAGGTAAAACTCCGCCGGCAGGACTGTCGCTTCGTCCGAGATTTGCGCGACGCCGTGTAAAGGTCTCCAAGCTTGCTTCAGGCTCACTGCGACATTCCGCCGCGAAAACAAGTCCAAGCGTAATTCTTCTTAAACTTTCACGAAAGCAATGTTCTCAGATGCATCGTGAGTAGGCTATATCCTCAAAAAGTCGCAGATGAAGTCGAAGGGATAAACAAGAAGCCGTCTTCCTCCTTAGCTCTGCTCGCTTGTTGTTTTCCTCCTCAGGAAAGCAACCGCAGCTGATAACTTCAATCGAGTGACTGTCAACCGAGGGTTGCAACATGTGAAGTAAGGAGCGCGCTGGCAGGTACTGAAAGGGCCTTCGGCGCATGCGCACTGCGGCTGTCAGACCTCGGGCGCTCCAAAATCCCACCCAGCGCGAGGACGAGAGTGAAATGATAAACTCACTTTGCTCAGAGTGCAAAGCAGCCGTGCATCGT